GGAAAATGTTATGTTATACTGTATTTGGCAAAAAGGACACAAAAAAGGCCCCAACATGTTGCACTGATTTCCCATAATTGCCTACTGTTTAGATGTCTGAATTCCTGATTTTCTTTATCTCCTATGCCTTACTTTTACGGTGCATTCCAATTGTCTGTTTTGGTTAGCAAGGTTCCTAACTGATAGACGTCACCCAGAAGTATCTGGATGGCAGATGTTCCAAATACTAATTAAAGGAGCTTCATTGCTTCCTTCAGCATAGTATATACTGGGACCAGCCTTTATGAAAAGAGCTGACCATCCAACCATTTATGAAAAAAATCAAGATAATAAACAAAGTGGTGCAAAGTGTGCATGTTAATTGTAACCACTTTTTCATTTCATAAGCTGCTGATATAGTTTTTAACAACACAGCTGAACCCTGAACACATCTGGAATAAAAACTGCTTCTCATCGAGTTGTTGCCTGGCGTGAATAGAAAAGATTTTACAACTCTAGACCATGATACCCTGCCCAGGATAGTGTTACTGTGACAGGGGCCTAGGTCTCAGGTCCAACTTATTCCAAAATGATCAGTTTTGCAATTATGCCATCAGATCTATGGCTGTTTGCCTTGGACACTCAGGTGAAGGGAAGATTTGAATTTTAGCATTCACCAGCTGGTGGTAATCATTTGATAGGGATCGGGTGGCAGGGGAAGATGCTCAGTAGGCTTGGCACTTGGCAGAGGACATGGTTATGGAGATCTTTAATTTCTACCTCAGGTAGAACTTTGACAGCATTCCAGTGGAGCCTGGGGATGCTGAGCTCAAATGAACTATGTTCGATATCTCCTCTGCAGAGAGACCTTGCCATAAGAGGCTGTATGGTGGTTGGTGCGTGTTACAGCAATCACCAAACTAAATTATCCAACTTGACAGTAAAAATGAACATGTTGAAACCCTGGTACAAAAACAAACAAGCAAACAAAAAATACTGTACAAGGAGTACATTTTTTCACTTGGAATACTGATAAGGGTTCATGTTAGGGGTGTGGCTAAATTACCTGCCACCTGCCAAAATAAATAAATAAAATACAGTTAGTTATGGTCAAAACATTAACATGGGGCCTTCAAAATACTGAGTTGAAAACAGCTATGTACATTTTTATATAAAGTCAGTATTTGTAAATGCAAAGTTCTAAATTTGTCAGATTAAACACTGAAAAAAATTATAATTTATGCTTTGATTGAAGTACTATAAACTTTAGTAGATCCCAGACAGTAAATTGTTTTCTTGTTACAGAATGTTATGGCCACCACCATTAATGAGGAAAGTGTCATGGTACTGTATTCAGCCAGGCTTTACTTTCAGTCGGGTGTCAGTGGAAATAAAGGTCAGATCTGGTACTCTGTTGGTTTGGGAGTAAGTCAAGTACCTAAGTGAATACTTTCAAGTTATTCAAGTTTATAGATTTAAGAGTAAGACTGACAGACTACTATAGAATGAGGTGGATGAGTACCACGTCAATACTGATGAAGACAGATTTTGAAGACCTAGTTCAGGCAATCCACCAGTTTCAGCCAGCTAAAAACAAAACAAAACAAAACAAAAAAAAGTCTAATACTAAGAACACAGCCAAGGTGTTCAGTTTAAGAGATCTGACCTGAGTGCCTTCAGTTTACAGTAAGGATTTCGTAGTCCAGCAGAGAGCATCACCACTCCTGAATCCAGCAGGTCATTGCTACTTAAATCAAGAACTGTCAGATGACAGACTCTGACAGCTGAAGCCAGATATCCACAGCTTTTCTCTGACAGACCACAGTAGCTAAGGCTGAAAAAAAGCACATTTGATATATTATTGTGAGTCTTTGCCTTAAAATACAAAGTGTTTAAGATACTGCTGTTGTGATTAGGCACTATATAAACTGAATTCAACTGAACTGAGAATTCTAACAGATAATATTGAACAAATGAAAACTGGAGACATTACAAATGAGAGAGCAATCAACAGGCCTATGCAATATTGCAGTTACCCCACTGACCTGAGAGTTTTTAGTCTACAGTATGGACTCTGTAAGCCAACACAGAGTTGCTTGACTCCTGAATCTTGCAGACAGTTGAAACTCATGTCCAGCTCTGTCAGCTGGAGGACTGAAAGTTGAGCACTGAAGTCAAAATGCCACAGCTTACTGTTGATAGATCACAGGCAACCAACCTGAATGTTTAAAAGAGAAGGAAGAAAACCCCCCAATATTATATATGTTAATATAAAATCATTTCCTTCAGCTGCTCCATTCAAAGGTCACCACAGCAGATGAGCTCCATCTACCTCACCTCATCCCAACATGATCCCCTGTCATACCATCCCTCTGCATGTTCTCCTTTACTACAACCATGAATTTTACTGTGGTCTTCATCTTTTCCTCTTTCCTTCCTCTTTTTCCCCCCACTATATCCACTATCCCTCCTCTGTACATGTCCAAACCATCTCTCTCATGGCTCCCAGCTCAGGTGTCACTGTGATATATTCATTTTCATTAGTGTTCTGACAGGACAAGCAAAGCAAGCAATACTTACTCCTACTCCATTTCTCCTCCCATCTACACCATGGCACAACAACTCCTGCCTTGCTTCCCTTCCAAATGGTCTCCTGCACACATAATAAATTATGCCGGATGCCCTTCCTGGCACAAGCCTCCCCATTAATCAGAGTAGTCTGTTATAGTCTTATCTCTATGTTTAGGTTGTGAGTGCCTATTTTATTTTGGTAGCGGTTTGTCCATGTCATGTTGCCAGTTCCCCTATTCCCCAGTCTTGTTACCCTTAATTAGTTTCAGGTGTTCCTTGTTCCCAACCTGTTTCCCTAAGTGTCCCCTAGTATAGATTTTCTGTGTTTTCCATTTATCCTTTAATGCTGTTGTCCTTGCCTTCCTGTTTCCCCATGTGTGTTGCTTTGCCTGGAGATTTTTATTTTGTATCTTGGACTGGTAAATGAACTGATTCTTATATAGCGCTTTTCTACTCAAAGCACTGTATACAACATGCCTCATTCACCCCAGCACTTCTAAACTCAAGTGCAAACTAATAAACATTCACACTCCAATGAACACATCAGAGAGCAACTTGGGGTTAGTATCGTGCCCAAGGATATTTGGCATGCAGACTAGGGAAGCCAAGAATCAAACCACCAACCTTCTAATCAGTAGCTGATCTGCTCTACCACCTGAGCCACAGCCACCGGTCTCTGGTATCTTGGACATTGTTTAATTTCTTTTTTTTTTTCAGCCAAAATAAGTGGTTCACTTATGGTTTTGTACTTGGTCTTAGCTTCCAGGAATTGAGACCATAAACTCTTCACAAAGTGTTCGCTGAAGCGAGAAAGTGAGCAGTGGGAGCATTTTCTATTTTCTATAGTTCTTAATATATCTACTTCCCCTCCAGCATGTTTTGAGCCCCTTTGAGGACATTTGCTACCACTGCTACGCAGATGATATCCAGTTATTCATTTCTTTTAAGTCTCAAGATGTTTCTAAGCTACAGATTTTTAATGAGTGCTTAGATTCCAGGAAAGACTGAAGTCCTTGTATGCCCCTGATAGACACGTACCTAAGATAATGAATGCTCTTGGTCCCCTTGCAACATTTCTGAAATTGTCTAACAGGAACCTAGGGGTAATCTTTGACCTCACTTGGATGTTCATGTCAAATCTTTGGTTCGGTCCTGTTTTTATCACTTAAGAAACATTTCTAAACTGATCCCTATTGTATCTCACACTGAACTGGAGATTATCATTCATGCTTTCATTTTATCAAGACTGGACTACTGTAATTCACTGTTTACATGTTTAAACAAAAACTCCTTGGAGCATCTACAGATTGTTCAAAATGCCGCAGCAAGACTTGTGACCAAAACATCTAAGTATTTACATCTGACACCATTGCTAATACAGCTGCACTGGCTCCCCATTGAATTTAGAGTCCACTTCAAGATTCTGGTACTGACTTATAGAGCTCTTCATGGTCAAGCACCTGCCTACATCATTGAACTTCTACAGCCTCATGTTCCTAGCAGGTCTCTTAGGTCATGTAATCATGGTCTACTTGTCATTCATCATACAAGGCTGAGAACTAAGGGAGACTGTGGAACTCTCTCCCACTGAGCTTAAAATCTCTGGACTCAGTAGCTTCTAAATAACTAAAAACACATGTTGTCTGTTTTGTTTTATACTTTGTTATCCCTGTGTGAAGCACTTTGTGATCTTTTATCTTTAAAGGTGCCATATAAATAAAGTTTTACTTGCTTTTTTTAAACTTACTTTCTCAGACTTCTCTTTTTTTTATATCAGAGAAGTTGCTCCCTGCTGGCTGTTTGAAAGAATCATATCTTTTATATGTGCTTTGCCTAACACAACCATTAAACATTTATCATGCTGGTATTTTCTTAATAATGTTTTCTTAAGTATCTACTAGTCTAAACAGTCTTGGCAGATGGCCCTGACCACCACCCAATCCACAGTGCAACAAACCACTATACCATATCTTGGGGATATGGCTAAGAGCTTTGGTTGATCACAGACCTCATTCTTTTAGGTCATTCAGGTTGAGTTCAGAGGACAGCCTAGAGTCTTCTAAACTTAAAGAAGACATTTGAGGGGGAGCATGGAAGGAAACCCTGGTGCAGACCCAGAACACACTAGGGAGATTATGTTTCTTGGCTGGCTTGAGCTGGAGGAGGTGAACTCTGGGTATCTCTGCTTATTCTGTTGTGTCTATGACAGATGCATGGATATTTTTTCATTATGCTGAAACAATGGGCAGAGTTACATGTTCATAATTTAATTTTCTCAAGTAATGCCCACTGTCAAGCTGCAGGAATATATGTATGTATTTCCCAATGATGGCATACGCCTTTTAACATATTTTTGTATATATGGCTGTGGCATGAACTACCATATTCATGATAAACTTTCTTTATAACCTAGACAGTAATATGACTAAAACTTTCTTCATTAATCAAACCTGAGAACTTCGAGTTTACACTGTAGACTGCCCAAGCCAACATAAAGCAGCTTCACTCCAGAATCCTCCAGCTTGTTATAATTCAGGGACAGGTTTATCAGACTGGAGGACTGGGTGCTGAGGACTGATGAGAGATCCTCGCAGCATGCCTCTGTGAGACTGGTTTGTTCCAACCTAAATGTTAAAAGAAACACATTTGTTTTTATTTCAGACATTTCATAAGTTTATCCGAGATCTTTAGTGCCTTAATAAACTACATGTAGGTTGTAAACAGTTTTAAAACACCAAAATTAGAACTGCATAGAGTGCAAATTCATAACAAATGTATGTCTTCACATAACACAAAATCTTACAAGAAACACATAAGCACACGCAAACTTTATCAAACCTCAGAGTTTTCACTTGACAGTATGGACTCCGCAGTCCAGCACAGAGTGAAATCACCCCTGGATCTTGCAGGTTGTTGTTACTCAGGTTTAGCTTAGTCAAATTACATGACTGGGAGTTAAAAACTGTTGCCAAAAATGAACAGCTTTTCTCTGTCAGCTTACAGCCGCTCAGCCTGAAATAAGTACCAGTGGGGAAAAGACAGAAGTCATATAAGTAGATTCAAGTTTTATTTTGTCATTCATTAAAAAAAACAAAAAACAAAACTCTTTATCCTTCAAACTCAGGCCCTCTACCAGAGGCCCGGGAGCTTGAGGGTCCTGTGCAGTATCTTAGTTGTTCCTAGGACTACGTTCTTCTGGACAGAGATCTCAGATGTTGTTTCTGGGATCTGCTGGAACCACTCGCCTTGCTTGGGGGTCATTGCACCAAGTGGCTGGCATCCAGAAATCCTACCAATGGCTGGACAGAGCTAGACTAAAAGACAGCACAGAGGCACTAATGATGGCAGCACAGTAACAAGACCTAAGCACAAGATCCATAGAGGCTGGAGTCTACCACACCAGGCAAGACCCCAGGTGCAGGCTGTGTAAAGATGCCCCTGAGACAATCCAGCACATAACAGCAGGGCGCAAGATGCTAGCAGGCAGGGCATGCACGCCATAACTAATGGTGATGGCGTTCTATGTATGCCAATGGTGCAATGACCCCCAAGATAGCCGAGTGGCTCCAGCAGATCCCAGGAACAACATTCCAGATCTCTGTCCAGAAGAGAGCAGTCCTAAGAACAGCTAAGATACTGCGCAAGACCCTCAAGCTCCCAGGCCTCTGGCAGAGGACCCAAGCTTGAAGGACAAAGACTGCTCCGCAGGGGTGAGAGGGGAATTTTTTGTTATATATAACATCAACCTACAGAGCTGTGCTGGAGGTTTTGACCACTGGCAGCAGCCTTTGAAGAGCTTCCTCTGATGCAGAGTATTTCTTTAGGTCAAACACATCCAAATCTTCTTCTGATGACAGTAAGATGAAGATCAGTGCTGACCAATGAGCACGTGATAGTTGGTTTGAGGAGAGACTTCTTGACCTCAGTGATTGCTGAATTTCTTCCACTAGAGAACTGTCATGCAGTTCATTCAGACAGTGGAACAGATTGATGCTTCTCTCTGGAGAGATTTTTTTTCTGATTATTTTCTTGATGTACTGATTTGTTTTCTGGTTCACTTTTGAGCAACTTCCTTGCTGTGCTGGCATAGCAGAGCCTGCTAGGAGTGCCTGGTTGGTTTCCAGCGAAAGACCCAAGAGGAAGCGGAGGAAGAGATCTAGATGTCCATTCGGACTCTGCAAGGCTTTGTCCACAGCACTCTGGTAAAACTTTGCATATGTGTTGTCCTTGTTTAATAGTCCAGATCATTTGGATTTAGACTGTACATCAGACAGCAGATTGACCCCAGAATTGATGAAGGTCAGATGGACGTGAAGAGCAGCCAGAAACTCCTGAACGCTCAGATGGACAAAGCAGAACACCTTTTCCTGGTACAGTCCTCTCTCCTCTTTGAAGATCTGTGTGAAAACTCCTGAGTACACTGAGGCTGCTCTGATATCGATGCCACACTCTGTCAGGTCTGATTCATAGAAGATCAGGTTTCCTTTCTGAAGCTGGTCAAAAGCCAGTTTTCCCAGAGACTCTGTCATCTTTATGGTTTCTGGACTCCAGTGTGGATCTGTCTCAGCTCCTCCGTCATACTTTATGTTCTTTAGTTTTGCCTGAACTACCAAGAAGTGGATGTACATCTCAGTCAGGGTCTTGGGCAGCTGTCCTCCCTCTCTGGTTATCAGCACATCTTCCAGAACCGTAGCAGTGATCCAACAGAAGACTGGGATGTGGCACATGATGTGGAGGCTTCGTGATCTCTTGATGTTTTGGAGGACAATACTGCCCTGCATTTTATCTTTAAATCTCTTTTGAAAGTATGCTTCCTTCTGTGAATTAGTAAATCCTCTGACCTCTGTCAGCATGTGGACACATTCAGCAGGTATCTGATTGGCTGCTGCAGGTCGTGTGGTTATCCAGAGGCGAGCGGAGGGAAGGAGTTTACCACTGATAAGGTTAGTCAGCAGCACATCCAGTGAAGTTGACTTTGTTACATCACTCAATGTTTTATTGTGCTTGAAGTCCAGAGGAAGGCGGCACTCATCCAGACCATCAAAGATGAACACAACTTGGGGCTTGTCATAGTTGTAGGTTTCTCCTTTTGTTTCAGAAAAGAAGTGATGAAGAAGTTTCTTCAAGCTGAACTTTTTCTCTTTCAGCACATTCAGCTCTCTGAAAGTAAATGGAAATATAAACTGAATGTCCTGATTGGCTTTGTCTTCAGCCCAGTCAAGAGTGTATTTCTGTGTTAAGACTGTTTTCCCAATGCCTGCCACTCCCTTCGTCAGCACGATTCTGATTGGTTCATCTCTTGTAGGTGAGAGTTTAAAGATGTCTTCACATCTGATTGTTGTTTCTATTTTGTCTCTTTTCCTAAATACTGCTTCAATTTGTCTGATTTCATGTTCATCATTGACTTTTCCAGTTCCCCCCTCTGTGATGTAGAGCTCTGTGTAGATCTCATTGAGGAGCGTTGGATTTCCAGCTTTAGCAACTCCCTCAAACAAAACCTGGAATTTCTTCTTCAGATTACATTTGACTTTCCGCTGGCAGTTCATTGTGTTAGTTTCTGAATCAACAATCAACAGAAATAATAATGAGTGTTTTTGCCAAAATTTGTACAAACCCATTTTTAAAAAAAAATTGAATGTCAAGTAAAATGTAAATAAGAACAGAATGTAAATGTAAAGGTGAATTAGCAAGTCATTTAAATACAAGAACACATGTTTAACCCATAAGGACAAACGGGGACAGAGGTGTCACTGGGGGTTCTTATGGGAAAATGAGGTAAGTTTCTGTTAAAGTTTCAGAATTGAATCCCCCATAGTTTTCCTGACTGTAAAAATGGGTCTGGGCTTTTATTTGTTAATATGATTTTGAATTGCTTAAATTCTCTGATCTGCATTACAGCCATCATTTATATTCATTATATATTTGTGCACAAGGCATGGATAACTAACACCATAAATACTTACAGATTTATAATAATTCTACTGCTATTCAGACTTTTCCGTAAATCGTGGTTATTTAAGCAAGATAATGACATTTTGCATTTATTCCAACTGCATGGATCCATAGTAAAAGACACTAAAATACTTCATATAAACATGTAAAAACCCCCAACGCATGTGGCAAGGACTCCAGACCATTAAAGACTACAGGACCACCAAACACTCCCGCGCATCCTCTGATGTCTCCTTCCTCAATGAGCTCAACAACTTTTATGCTCGTTTTAAGCGAGGGAACCCCACAACTACGACCAAAGCAGACGTGACGCCGGACCACCACCCACTGACTCTTTCCCCCACCGATGTAGGAGCGGTGCTGAGCAGGATTAATGTCCAAAAGGCTGCAGGTCCTGATGGCATCCCCAGCGTGTTCTCAGAGCGTGTTCTGGGGAGCTTGCAGGAGTGCTCACAGACATATTCAACCTGTCCTTGGCCCACGCTGTGGTACCGGCCTGCTTCAAATCCACCTCCATCGTCCCGATACCCAAAACTCCAACCCATCTAGCCTCAATGATTACCGCCCAGTAGCACTCACCCCCATCATCACTAAGTGCTTAGAGCAGCCGGTCCTAGCACACTTCAAATCCTGTCTCCCCCACCCTGGACCCCCACCAATTCGCATACCGCCAGAACAGGAGCACAGAGGATGCAGTCTCCATCGCACTGCACTCTGTCCTCTCACACCTGGACAACAACAACACCTACGCCAGAATGCTGTTTATAGACTTCAGTTCAGCATTCAATACAATCCACCCCTCACAACTCATCAGGAAACTGACAGACCTGGGCATCAGTTCCCTCATCTGCAAATGGTTACTGGACTTCCTGACCAACCGGCCCCAACATGTCCGGCTGGATAACCACTGCTCATCTACCATCACGATGAACACCGGTGTACCACAAGGCTGTGTGATGAGCCCTTTCCTCTACTCCCTCTTCACCCACGACTGCAGACCTGCTGATGGTTCCAACACCATCATTAAGTTTGCAGATGACACCACGGTGATTGGCCTCATCAGTGACAATGATGAGGCCGCCTACAGGGAGGAGGTGGATCGTCTGGCTGAGTGGTGCGACACAAACAACCTGCTGCATAACACCGAGAAGACCAAGGAGCTCATCGTGGACTACAGGAGGAATGCTGACCCACATCCACCCATCCACATTAAGGGGACGGCTGTGGAGCGTGTGAGCAGCTTCAAGTTCTTGGGAGTCCACATCTCCGAGGATCTCATCTGGACGACCAACTGCTCCAAGCTGGTCAAGAAGGCTCACCAGCGCCTCTTCTTCTTGAGGACTCTGAGGAAGAACCACCTGTCCTCAGACATCCTGGTGAACTTCTATCGTTGCACCATCGAGAGCATCCTGACCAACTGTATAACAGTCTGGTACAGGAACTGCTCTGCCTCGGACCGGAAGGCGTTACAGAGGGTCGTGAAAACTGCCCAGCGCATCGCTGGAGCACCACTTCCTGCCATGAAAGACATCTACAGGAAGCGGTGTCTGAAAAGGGCTGGGAAAATCATCAAAGACCCCAGTCACCCATGTGACATGGACTCACATGGACTCTTCACCCTCCTGCCCTCTGGGAGGCGCTACAGGAGCCTCCGGACTAAGACCACCAGGTACCGGAACAGCTTCTTCCCCACAGCTGTCAGACTCCTGAACTCTGCCTCCTGACATCTGACCCACGTTAAACACATGGACTGAACATACACACACCCACAATGGACAACTGTACCCTCAAACACACAATAATAACATGGACTGAACCACCACTCACAACCACTAGCACTTTTTATAGCCTCTGTAGAAAGTAGCCACATATTTAACTTATCTTAAAGGCACTACTGTATAATTCTGTACAAACAATCATTCTGTACAATATGATAATTATAATTCTACAACTGTTTACAACTGTTCACAACTGTTTATAACTTGCATATTTCTGTATAGTTTCATATTTATATCCTGTTCATAGCCTGTACAAAGCTTGTATACCCACTACAGCCTGTACATACTTATAGTTATAGCATATTCATAACATACCTTCATACCGTGTACATTGTAACATACCCATAATAGACCAATTTTTGTACCCTCATACCTATAACAGACCCATTTCTGTAATATATCTATATACCTATATTATTGCTCATATATATTTTGTAATATATCTATATCATGGCTAAAGCACTTCTGGATGGATGCAAACTGCATTTCGTTGCCTTGTACTTGTGACATGTGCCATGACAATAAAGTTGAATTCTATTCTATTCTATTTTAACAAAAAATATGTGCTTGTCAGAATACTAGTCTCGATGGTATCATTAGTATAACCTTTTGATATTTTTTCTCAACAACTGTTTCTCGGCGTTGTCTTACTGCTCTGAAGTGACTCAGCTAGTTCCTCCTGATTCATTCTTCTCAGAAAATGCAGCGTGATTTCAAGAAAAGCTGTTCTGCTGCTTCTCAACTGTTTTTTTTTCTTAATGTCTCCCATCTCCTCAACCTCACTCCCAGTCTCTAAATATTCAGAGTCATCTTGGCTCAAAATCCTCTGGATCCTCTTCAGTTCAGTCTTCACAAATCCTGCTATATTCTCCTCAAGTAACTGTATCGGAATGAACAGATAAGAATAGAACCACAATCAGTTGTATGACTTGTGAACACTAGTCTGAATAGCACTGCATGGATCATGAAAATGCAAGATATTTTAATTGATTTTAAAAGTGGTAAAAGGTTTTCAACAATCACATACTATAAATATGGAATCCATGTCCTTTGGAGTTTTATGACCACATGAGAAACTGTCAGATTCACACTTGTCCCCAAGATCTCTGCAAAGAAAAATATTATCCATAATGTGTTGTTATAGATTATGCACACACTGCCTATAGAAATAAAGCATTAAGTCATGCTTGCACTGATTATATTTCAAAGACCTCATCACAGATCTCATCATCTTAACTATCACCTGCATGCATAGAGACAATTCTAAGAAGGCTAACAAAGCTAGTGAAACTGCCAAAAGTGTGAAGAGAGAAGAGGAATTTAAAAAATAAAGATGGAAGTGACAGGAAATAAAATCA